TCCTGGGAACTGTTTGACCACAAAAGAAACTCCCTCTGGAGGAGCTTGCTAGACTGGGTCCCTCCTGTGGAAGGATAGAGCAATCAATAAACCTTGTGCATTTCCATTGGTGGGTCTGTCTCCCTGGTCTCTTTGGGGACTTTTGTGACCTGGGCACAACAATTTGGGGCTTGTCCCAGAATCCCCAGAGACCCTCGGGACCTCAGACCCCTGGAGGTTTTCATCACCCAGCTGGGTGAATTAGATTATTCTCTGTTCTCTGTTATTTTTCCTTTTTTTCTTGCCAGAGTCTCTGACTCAAAACTCTGCAGATCACAAGTACCTAGGCAGAAGCGCTATTAGGTAGACCTGGAGGAACCAGAAGATGTCCCTCTTCCTCATCAGGACAGGGCCCCATCTGGGGCCATCCCGTCGGGATCCCTGGATCCTAACTGTTCTTCTGAAAGTTCTGAGGACAATGAGCCCCTGGTGGGCCTTTGTCCAATCTGTACGTTTTTTGGCCTGATCAAACCAGACCAAAACTGACCCTCTGAATTCTGCAGAACTCTGGTACTCTGATACTCTGTCTTGGGCCCTTCTGTCTGACTGTTGTGTTTGTCTCTTTTCTGTTTGTTTTACTGTCAATGGCCTCATCATCAGGACTGAAAATGGGTACAACTCCATCCTCACCCCTTGACTTGACTTTGGCCCATTGCGGCAACGTTAGAGCGACTGCCCATTACAACAGTGTTAATGTCAAAAAGGACAAATGGGTTACTTCTGTTCCTCCGAGTGGCCTACCTTTAATGTCGGATGGCCATCTGGAGGGTCTTTTCATTTAGATCTCATTTCCAGGGGCGAAGAGATTGCTTTCAGACCCTGAACAAGATATACTACTGATCAAATCCCCTACATTGCCACTTGGCAAGGACTCATGGATGGAGTTGATGGGACCTTCCTCTGGGTTAAGCTACTTCTTGTCCCATCTACTCCCTCTGCCGCCCCCCACCCCAGCGTCACCATTACAGGGTTCCCCATGAAGAAGGAAGTGGCTAATCCCATTCTCCAAGGAGGAACAAGAAAAGCTAATCTCTTTCCTTTCCCCTACTCTCTTCCCCCTCTTCGATCTGAACCCCCACAGGCACCCCTCCAGGCAGACAGTCATCCACCCACACAGCCAGGCTCTACAATGCCAGACCCCCCTGAAATGCTTTACCAAGGGCCGGCACAAGTAACTAAAAGTCAGAAGAGAACAAGCACCAGAACCAGATTGCCCAGTGGGTCCCCTGTTGAGGTGGGGAACCAGCCCTTTCACGACTGGCCATTTGCCACTAGTGACCTTTACAACTGGCATTCACCTAACGCCTCCTTTCCACAAAACCCTGGGGACCTTATTAACCTCTTAGAAACTGTCCCTTTTACTCATCAGCCCACTTGGGACGATGGCCAACAACTCCTCAAAGTCTTATTTACTACTGAAGAAGATCAGGATCCTGGAAGTGTCTCAGAAATTGGTTCCGGGGCCAACCAGGGAGCCTTCCACTGACTCTGCTGTCGCCAGCACCAACTTTCCTTCCAGTTGTCCAGATTGGGACTACCCAAAGAACAGTACACTCAGGAAGACCGGTAACCCATTCGTTTCTGATAATACCAGAATGTCCATATCCCCTCTTGGGCCGAGACCTGCTTACTAAAATGAGAGCTCAGATCCACTTTTCTGATAAAGGGGCCATTCTACTCTATCAAGACAGGAGGCCAGCTTAAGTCCTGGTCACGAGTAACTCGGCCGAGGAACACAAAATCTACCAAGAGCCGATAAAACCTGAACCTAATATAAAGGACTGGCTTCAGAAATTCCCCCTTGCATGGGCAGAGATGGGGGGCATGGGGCTGGTACATCACCGGCCTCCAATTTACGTTGAAATCAAGGTGGGGGCAGACACAGTTAAGGTTCACCAATACCCCACACTCCACAAAGCAAAGAAAGGGATTACACTCTACATACGGCAGCTACTAAGAGCTCAGGGTCCTGAGGCCCATACAGTCAGCCTGGAACACCCACCTACTACCGGTAAAAAAAAAAAAAAAAAAAAAAAAAAAAAAAAAGCCTCACACCAATGATTACCGGCCAGTACAGGACCTGAGAGAAGTTACCAAAAGAGTAACGGGCATTCATTCACCCTACAGTGCCTAACTTCTACACCCTACTCAGCACGCTGCCCCCAGACTGACAACGGTACAGTTCTGGATTTAAAGGATGCCTTCTTCAGCCTTCTGCTGGCCCCTAAAAGTCAGGCATATTTCACCTTTGAATGGCATGACCCCGAAATTGGGATCAGTAGCCAGTTAACCTGGACCCGGCTCCACCAAGGATTTAAAAACTCGCCCACCATCTTTGATGAGGCATTACACGAAGATCTGGGTGAGTACAGAACCCAAAACGCAGATATCATTCTGTTACAATATGTAGATGACTTGCTGATTGAGGCAGCTGACCTAGAAAAATGCCTAAAAGGCACAAAGAATCTGTTACAAACTCTAGGAGTCCTGGGGTACAGAGTATCAGCAAAGAAAGCCCAACTTTGCCAAAGACAGGTAATGTATCTGGGATATGTGCTTTAAAAAGGCCAATGATGGCTTTCAGATGTCTGAAAAGCAACTGTGTTAAAAATCCCAATCCCCACTTCTACCAAACAAGTGAGGGAATTCTTGGGCACCGCTAGGTTCTGCCACCTCTGGGTCCCAGGGTTTGTAGAGATAGCCAAACCCTTATATGAGGCAACCAAGGAAAAACCAGGCTTTGCCTGGACAGACAATCAGCAGCAGGCATTTCACACTCTAAAACAGAAGTTGCTTGAGGCGCCAGCTCTGGGCTTACCAGATATAAACAGGCCCTTCTACCTGCTTGTGGATGAACATAATGGGGTAGCGAAGGGTACACTGACTCAGACTGGGGCCCTGGAAGAGACCGGTGGCATATTTATCAAAGAAACTCCCCTGTAGTCTCCAGGAAATTCAATTCTGAAAAATATTGGTACAACAGGCCACCTGCAAGCCATAGAAACCACAAAATGTTCCTTTCCAGCACCGACCTATGAGAATAATGGGTACGCAGGTATTAAATGCCAAAACTGTAAGCAAAGGTAACCCACCATTAACTCGGAGGGGTACTTGATTCCCCACAATGCTACTTGGTGGGCATGCTCCACAGGCCTTACTCCCTGCACACACACAAAGATAATTACAGAGACTAAGGGCTTCTGCATGCTAATCCAGTTGCTCCCCAGACTCATCTGTCATACAGAGGAACTGCTATTAGACCTCACAGAAAACCACAGAGCTAACTACAATCACCCTCAGCCTCTTAGTAGGGGTAGCAGGTATCGTAAGTAGGGACAGGAACCACAGCTCTCATAGAGCAGGGACAACATTATTTTACTTTAAAAAGAAGTCTAGACAATGATTTTTAAAAGAATAGACGATTCCATTACTCACCTAGAAGACTCCCTTTCCTCCCTGGCTGAGGTAGGTAGCCCTACAAAATCTTAGGGGTTTAGATTTACTATTCCTCCAGTAAACTGGATTGTGTGCAGCCCTAAGGGGGAATGCTGTTTTTAGAGAGACCATTCAGGCGGCATAAAAGAACATGGCTAAAATCAGAGAAGGGCTAGAAAAACGGAGAAGAGAACACGAAGCTCAACAAGGATGGCTTGAATCTTGGTTTAATAACTCACCCTGGTTCAACAATGTTCATATCCATGCTAACAGGACCCCTAGTTGTCCTCCTTCTCCTGCTTACATTTGGTCCCTGTATTCTAAATAGACTAGTACAGTTTACAAAGGATAGACTGGGAACCATACAGCTGATGGTTCAATGATCACATTACAGGCCCTTAGCAACAGAAGACAATTAAAAACTAAGCCTTAGACATTCATGATTGGATTAGTGCCAAAACCAGAGGAGAAAATGAAGAGCTGAAAACTCCAGATCAACTCTCCCCACCATCCCACCCCAAGTCTTCGCTCCTAGAGACCATGTTGTATACAACAGGCTTAGGGCCAAAGCTGAACACAAAGGAACTCCAGACACCCCTAGCCTCCTAGATGCTTGGATCCTGGGGACTGTTTGACCACAAAAGAAACTCCCTCTGGAGGAGCTTGCTAGACTGGGTCCCTCCTGTGGAAGTATAGAGCAACCAATAAATCTTATGTATTTGCATGGGTGGGTCTGTCTCCCTGGTCTCTTTGGGGACCTTTGTGACTTGGGCACAACAAAAACACCCCAATCGCACCCCAGATATATACACAATTATCTCGTCAACTCAAATGCAGGAGTTTTAAGTGCCGGCAGAAGCGTTCACAGGGTTTCAGTGAAGACTCGTTGGACACCAAAAGCTCCACAAATGAGATCAATACACCAGTCCCAGGCTTTGACTCTGACTGGCTCTACTCACGCCCGTTCCTGTCAAGGCTACCTGCCATTAAAACCTAAAAAAGGGTACAGCCTAGGACCCGGCTGATAACCTCTCCGAACACCTGCTTCCAGCCCCCCAGCCTCTGGTTTTCCTTCAACCTCTCTGCAGGCGCCCGCTCCTGACCTTCCATCTTTCCAGAGCTGAAAAATCGCGCCCACCTCCCTGCCCCAGTTCCCACACCACTCGCAAAACCTTGGGGCACCATCCTCCTGGCTTGGTCTTAATCTTTCCCCATTTCTCTGCTGCCACGATCGTCAAATCCTGCCGGCTCGCCCTCTCTACCCTCAGACTGTGTCGCGATCCGCCCCTTCCTGCACTCCCCGCCACCACTACAGCCTGCCCTGTCACCTTAGCCAAAGTGCCCTTCCTCCAGGTCACCGCCTTCCGGGGCCCTGCTTCTTCCTGGGATTTCTCTCCCACCCATCGCCCATTCTGCCACCCACCCTGTCGCAGCCTTCTCTACAGGCGCTAGGCCACGCATGCGCGGGGTGGAGCGCGCGGAGCCAGGACAAAGCCGGGACCCCTCTAGCCCAGCGCGAGACGCACCTACAGAAGGCGTTGGGGACGGAGGGAGCTGGAGGAGAGGCCGCGGGGCGGAGCGCTCGGCGTCCTGGTGTCCCATCCCGGCTGCAGCGGCCCCTGCCGGAGACCCGGAACGATCCTTGCTTTGTGGTTTCAGTGGCATCATCAGTGGAAGACACTGGGACTTGCTTTTATCTTTATGACCTTCCAAGATTCACTCCACTTCTCAGAGAAGTCATGAACTACAGCCTACTCTGCTGCCTCCTTGAGCACACTGGGGGACGACAGTTTCAGGACAGAGTTTAGGAAAATCAAAGTCGTTTCCCTGGAACTCCCGTGGCAAACCCTGGAGAGACGGTTCCAGGCTAGCCCAAACCTCTGTAACCTAATGGAGAGGTTGTGGTTCACTACTGGTGGCGCCGAGATCCACCGGTTTTAGGGACTTCTCTGCCTTTCTAAGATACTGGTAATGGACCCAGGGGACCAGAAGGGGAAATAACCTGAGAACATTCATATTTATCTTTCTTTCCCAGCTTAAATCTTGAATGCCCCCATTGGATGGACATTCTGCCCACTTTGAAGGCGGCCTGGACAAAGTATTGTTTTCCACTGCTTTGCTTTGTGAGGTTGTTTGTTTGTTTAGTGTTGGAGATATTGAACTTCACGTTAGGCAACTTTCTGTACTGAGCTACATCTCCAGCCCTTTTGTTGCTTTTCATGCTGTGGTAGCCGCCACTATATGATAATTCTTCACTATCAATACTTGGAGGACTGGGGGGAGAGACAGCTCCTCATCGCAACTTTCCGTGGTTCACAGACCCAATAGGCAGCCCTCCATCATCCATGGTTCCACCATGTGGCACTGTATGTCATCCAAGTCCAAGGGACTTCTCCCATAGCCCACCCCGGATGCACTGTCCACTCCAACCTGTCTTCTAGGCTTAGAAAGGCCAGCTTTTCCCAACCGCCACCATTCAAGAGATGTTCCCTCAGTATTCTGGAGTTAGTGGTCAAGAAAGCATCACAGGGCTCCCAGTAAAATGTGTTGGCTGTGGTAAGGCTTTCCAGGCTCGAACTTTACTTCAAACTCGGTCATCCACACTGTGATAGGTGCTCGTGGTAGAGGATACTCCTAAAAGAGGCACAGCTGATGATCTGGGAGGGCCACAGAGAAGTGTCATAAGCGGAAAGAAGGATTATAGAGCCCAAATAAGTAACCCCTTCTAAAGGAAGACACACTAAGCAGCTGAACAAGAATCTATAGTGCCGGGCTGGAGAGATGGCCCAGCTGTGAAAGGTTAGGCTCACAACCAAAAATGCAAGATTCTATAGTGCCTCCGAAGTTTGAGGGAAGATCGGTCCAGGCACTGTAAGGTTATGGTTTCTGACCCGCCCCTTGACAACAACTGTGCCTGAAGTGAAAGGGCTAATATAAAATTAAACGCTGCCATGCTTGGATTCTGGGCAACTCACCCAGGGCCTCTGGAGTATATGTTTAAAAAGAGCTGGATTTGTAACTCATTACCCATCACTCCACAGTGCTCAGGGGACAAGCCAACCTCTGAGCAGAAGACTGGCTCGAGGCTTGAGGATACCTTGGAAAGACAAAAACAAAGCCTAGGAAGCTATACCGATGCAGTTGTGGATGTTTGACGGACAAAAATGAAATTATTTAAGTGATAAAGTGACCTTGCTCGTTTTCCGCAGGTGATGATGTTTGGAGGCAGGCTGGTTCTCAACCTGTGTGTCCTCATCCCTCTGGCAGTTGAGCAGCCCTTTACAGGGATCATATATCCTGCACATCAGATATCTACATTACGATTTATAACACTAGAAAAGTTAGTTATGAGGAAGCAATGGAAATAGTTGTATGGTGGGTGAGGAGGTCACCACTACGTGAGGAGCTATATTAAAGGGTCACAGCGTTAGGAAGGCTGAGAACCACTGCTCTGGAGGAAGAGCAGTCTGACCAGGGCAAGCAGCAGAAACACTGAAGGGCTGACTTAAGTAGAAAAATGACTGCGTTAATCCTAGATAACAGCTCCCCAAATGGACACAACTACTGGTCAGAGCTCTCTAGAGGAACTGAGAGAGTGAACATATATTAAAGCGGGATTTATTAGATGTTCAACTTGTCACAAGCTAGGGTCACCTTGGAAGAGGGGATCTAACTTGAAAAAATGTCTCCCAAGATTGGCCTATAGGCAAGTCTGTGAGTGCCGTGGGATAACCCTTCTGTACACCATGAATACATGTTGCTCTCATTGGTTGATAATAAAAGCTGCGTTGACCTATAGCAAGGCAGAATACAGCTAGGCAGGAAAGCCAAACTGAATAGAGGAAGAAGGGTGGAGTCAGGGGAGAGGCAAGCAGCAGCCGGTGAAGCAACATGCTAGAGCACAGGTAAAGCCATAAGCCTCGTGGTAAAATGTAAAGTAATAGGAATGGGTTAATTTAAATCTAAGCGCTAGTTAGTAATAAGCCCGAATTACAGGCCAAATACTTTATAATTCATATAAATTTCTGGGTGATTATTTGGGACCTTGTGGGTCTGGGCATGAATGCTCTGCCTCTGTTTACATGGGAGGCTTATTCCTTGATTAAAGATTGACATGGAAGGGCCCAGCCCACTGCGGGTGACACCACCCATGGGCATGTGGTCACGGGATATATAAGAAAACAAGCTGGCTGAGCCCTAAAGAGCAAGCCAGCAAGAAGCATTCCTCCATGGCATCTGCTTGAATTCCTGTCCCGGCTTCCCTCCATGATGGGCTGTGATGTGGAGTGAGTTTGCCACAGCACCAGAAAGCAAACTGACCCAATAGAGGCCGGGGAGTCCAACAATGGCTGCCTGCACACAGAAAGCCTGAGAACCGAGACGCTGCTCAGCCCATGAGGCCAGAGGCCTTCAGCGGTGCTGGGGCTAAAGGCCGTGAGGATTCCTGGAGAGCCACCAGTCTTCAGGCATCACTGGAAGTCTGAAGAAGCTGGATTCTGATTTCAGTGAAGGGATGTAGACACAGCACCAAGATGGAAGGACAAACGTGCAAGCAGGACAGATGTAGGGACAGTAAGGAAAAAAAGCAAAAACTTCTCTCAGACCACCTTCTACCTGGGCTGCCAACAGAAGGTGCCATCCACATTTAGGGTGGGCCTTCTCAGTTTAAATACCCTGATCGAGAGAGAGAGAGAGAGAGAGAGAGAGAGAGAGAGAGAGAGAGAGAGAGAGAGAGAGAGAATGTGGAGATCCTGTCTTAGGGTTTTTTGTTGCTGTGAAGAGACCCCGTGGCCGTGGCAACTCTTATAAAGAAAACATTTAATTGGGGCTCACTTACAGTTTCAGAGGTTCTGTCCATTATCATCATGGCGGGGAGCATGGCGGCATGCATGGCGGCATGCAGGCAGACATGGAGAAGGAGCTGAGAGCGCTACATTTTGCAGGCAACAGGAAGTCAACTGAGACACTGGGCGGTATCCTGAGCATAGGAAACCTCAAAGCCCGCCCCCACAGTGACACACTTCCCCCAACAAGGCTATACCCACGCCAACAAAGCCATACTTCTAATAGTGCCACTCACTCCCTATGAGATTATGGGGACCAATTACATTCAGAGTACCACAGATCCCAACTTTTTAAAAATTATTTTTGTAAACAGCGATTTGGCCATGTCAAATTGCTTTGATATACTCAGAGGGAATTAAGCAGAAGGCAAGTTCACAAATATCCACTTACTTAGATGTATTTGTCCTTTGGCAAAAACCTTGACTCAAATGAAGGTTTTCCCTCAATGCTTTAAATTTCACAGAACACCAAAACAGCACCTAAGTGGTTTATTTCTGTGAGGGCAACTGGCCATCACGCTTCACTTAGCTATCCATACATTGTCATAGGAAGAATTTTATAACACTTGATACATCCTAAGTGCTTTCAAGTCATTAATAAGCTGTCTCTCTGTGAATCTTCAGGTCACTATTGACATCGCCCACTTTGAGTGCAGCTATCCAGACTCAGGGTTAAGTGGCTGGCCCAAGGTTAGAGAGAGAGACAATGATGAGCCTGAAATTGCAGACTTTGCCTGAAAGAAGAAGAGCCAACACTGTATTATTCATTGGAAAAAGGCTGGACTCAGCCAGGCCACTTTAAAAGTCAAAGGCAAGAGGAGGATTAATTGCACGCTGAGATAATCCCTTTTAAAGCTTGGCCTCTTCCAGTACTGGACAAAGTTAATTACCTGCTTGTCCCAATCCAGCAGGGACCCTCAACTACAGACACCAAAACTGTCACTGGACACTTTGCTCCTGGTGTTTATATAGTATTCACACTTACATTCTAGCGATGACTTGGTTTTGTTGTGTAATTTGAGGCAGGGTCCCATGTGGCCCAGGCTGGTCTCAAACTCACTAAGTAACAGAGGCTGACCTTGAGATCTTCTGACCTTGAGAGCTTGCCCCTCCTTCCACCTCGAAATAGGCATGTGCCTCCACCCCTGGCTATTCAAAGCAAAACCGCTTTCTTAGAGATTAATGGGAAAAGTGGTCTAGGCCCAGAGTTAGCTAAATTTGATATTTAAAATTTTTTGTATTAATGTAGGAATCATTTTTTAAAATTTGATTTTTATCATTTTTATGTGTCTCTATGTGGGTATGTGCAGATGGATGCAGATGCCCAGGGAGACCAGAGGTGTCAGATCCCTTGGAGCTGGAGTCCCTGGCATTCACTGGGTGGTAGGACTTGAACTTGTGTCCTCTGAAAGAGCAGTTTGTGCTCTAAACCTCTGAGCCATCTCTGTAGCCTAAAATCATTGTAAATGCGAAAGATAGCCAACATTCTATTTTTTCTTAATACAGGCAGTTTAAAATATGGCTAAAAGTTACAGCTTTTTGTAGAATTCTCGAAATACAAGGAGAAGCCAGGCATGAAGACCCGTGGCTGTAATTTCAGCTCTTTGAATTCTAGGACAAGAGGATCATGATTTTGAAGGTAGTCAGGACTACATAGTTTGATGCCAGCCAGGGCTACCTAGTGAGACTCTGACTCAAA